GAAATAATTACACGGAAACTGTATTCTTTCAAACACTGCCTGGCCCGGCTAGGTCCAGTTTCTTATTGGTTAGCTCTTACATATTGTTCTAACCCATTTCTAATATTCTGTGTAGCCCACGAGCTGGCTTACCAGGGAGGATCTTAACCTGCGTCTGTCTGGAGCGGGAGAATCATGGCGACTCTCCTAAGCTTCTTTCTCCCAGAATTCTCTTCTGTCTACTCCGCCTACCTAATTTTCTGTCCTATGAGGACCGAGGCAGTTTCTTTATTATTAACCAATGAAATCAACAGATAAGATACAAGACCCACCTCCATCACCCTCCAGTGGGTTGCGTGTCAGTCTCTAGTGTGGGGTCAAAGATCCCCACCAGTGATATCTTCAGTCCTTTGTATCTGTTAAGAATTGTGTGATTTGTGCCCACCCAGGAACACCACCCTGGTCAGAGTTACATGGTGAGATCCTGTAGAAAGAAAGAAAGGAAGGAAGGAAGGAAGGAAGGAAGGAAGGAAGGAAGGAAGGAAGGAAGGGAAAAGAAAAGAAAAGAAAAGAAAAGAAAAGATGCAGAAGTTTTTCAATACCAGATGCGAATTCAAAGCCTATTCACTTTGATATGTATTCAGATGCTTGCCTCATGCAAAGTGATGTGGGCAAAATATAAAAACAGAAAGTAATCTTATACCTTGTTTGCTGTGAGGAGCATGACGTCAGCTTTTACTGTTTCTGTTACATTGTTTTATAAAACCATTTAATTTAAATTTAGTTTATAATTTAAAAAAAATCTACAACTTGCTTATCACAGTATATACCATATACATTTGTTTTTTTTCTCTCTATGTTTGTTACATACATTTACAGGTATATTTCCTGCCTGAACTGGAGCATGCGGAATAATTTAATATATGTTTATTTCCACAAGAGAGGCATAGGTCAGGACATGATGGCGATTGGCTTATGAGGGCACATTCTGTGGGAAATGGTCAGGAAAAGCTTCCCCAGAGCACCGGAGGTGGGATTTCCCGTGACCTTAGGCGACCTGTGCAGCTTTGGTGACTAGTTCAGTTCAGGCGTGCTAGATGCCAGTGCGCGTTTGAGCAGTGGTGCCAGTGAGGTGCGGGTTCACGCGGGCAGTAAGTGCGCAGTTTGAGCGTTAGATGGGTGTGTAGGAAGATAGCAGTGTGGAAGGGAGATGGCAGCATGCCAGAGACAGGGGAGTGGCAATGTGACCGGGGAAGGTGGCAGTCAAGCTGGGTCAACTGCTAAGCACTAACCCAACTGACATCATTACTGACGTTTCATGGCTTTGTGTCTTCCAGGAGGTTCACGAGCTATTCCAGGACTACGAGCTAAAGTACTGCTATGTGGACAGGAATAAGCGAACAGGTGAGCGTTCCGTTCCAAGCACGCAATCTTGTTTTGATTTCTCACGAAGCTACTATAGAGCAGGAAAGCTTGCTGTCTTTTGCTTACCTGTCTTCTTCCGATGCTGGGAATTGAACTTAAGGCCTTTGCGGGTGACGGCAAGCATCCAGCTGCTGGGCTCCATTCGTTGCCAGCTGTGGAGTTTCTAAGTGTGAAATACTATCGGTGTGACTCACTGGCTTCTTCCTGAGGGCAATATTAATGTCCCGAACTTTAACCAGTAAACAAATACAGTGTAACTGCAGGTTTGGTTTTTAACAATGAACATTGAATGGTATGTGTTCTTTGGAGCATGCTGTGGGTACTTCCATCTGATAATGTTACCGGGTTTTGCGAACACACACGGTGTGTAGCTTGACCTTCAGATGGACAAATTAGGAAAACTTGCTTAGTTTTTCTGAGTACTAGTTTCATATTTGTGGGATCAGAGTTCTGTTCTTGTATGGGCAATGATCTATAAATATTGGCGAACATTTTTTCGATGATAAAATACAGTACTGATGTACTTACACATGGTAAGACCACTGTATACACGTGTATTCTAATGCAAATCATTTATCTAGAACTGATGAATTTATTTATTACATTTACTACAACTTGATGTGGAGCACTTGCCTAGCTTGTGCAAGGAAATGGGCTTGGTCCCAGCATTTCCCCCCAAAGTGTATGGCTTAATATGTATTGCCGAATTGAAAACACCCCCCAGCCCCTCAAAAACAAAAACAGCAGAAGACTCCCAGATACAGAGGAACCCCAGTTCCCAGCACCCTGACTGCATCTCCCCCTGGGGGAAACACATAGGAATCTGTTCCCAGTCTGTGGAGTGTGGCGTGATCATCCCTAGATTGTTGGGGGTTCTCTTGGGCACGAGACACTCTTTTGTTCTCCCTCCTAGGGGTCTTGAGAGGACAGGTGTGTCTTTTCATAAATAAAAGGATAGTGGACATAACGTGTGTTCCTTCAGGTGAAGATTTCAGAGCCAGCATGTGGCTCCATGCCCTCAGATTAGAGTACTTGGTTCAGTATGATTGATCTCACAGCCCTTTCCACTTCCCCTTTGGAAACCCCACATATGTAACTCCCAGTTGAATGTCTTATTCCCCAATTGGAATATGAACTCAGTGCTGAATAACAGTGCTCTTCCAGCGCCTAGTCTGTAACTAGACATACTACTGAATAAATAAGGATTTCATGTCCCAGGGCAGGAGGGTGGAGTGAGAGCAGGGATTCAGTGGCTTGACGCTTCTGGGTATTTGAATTTGGGTCTCATGAGTATTCTACCAGGAAAGACCTGGAGATTGCTATCTTTCATTTGTGAGCAGAGGAAGATGTGGCAAAAGGAAAGTGCTCAGACAGGTGTACAGACTCAGGCAAGAGTGAACAGACAGGTGTGTAGACTCGGGCAAGCGTGCTCACACAGGTGTGCAGAGTAGGGAACATAAAGGGATGGTCAGAGACTTCAAATCCCCAGCCCTCCAGCCTAAGCTCACAGTTTTATGGGCTGATAGAGAACATAGCCAGTATCTAACAAACCGGTGTTTGTGTGTTTTAGGGAAAAAGGGTTATATGATGCTATATGGCTGCCTGACTGGGCTGGGGAGGCCTAGAGCTGTAAGGGGCGTGTCTGTGGGGGAATATCTAGTTTAACTGAGGTAGCACATGACCAGGGGTGGCTGTACAAAACGGAGAGAGTTAGCTGAGTGCCAGCTTTTGTCTCCTTCCTGACCGAATGCCGTGTAACCAGCTGCCTCAGGTCCAGCCACCAGGACTTCCTCACCATGATGATCTATACCCCTAAACTGTGAGCCATGATAAATGTCCTTTCCTTAGGGTGCCTGCTGGCTGGTTTTATGTCTACTTGATCCACCTATAATCTTCTTAGAGGAGAGACCCTCTATTGAGAAAATGCCTCCATAAGATTGGACTGTGGGCAAACCTGTAGGGCATTTTCTTAATTAGTGATTGATGGGGGTGGGTGGGCTCAGCCTTATATGGGTGGTAGCACCCTACTCAGGTGGTCCTGGCTTCTACAGAAAAGCGGAGTGAGCAAGCCAGGGTGAGCAAGCCAGTAAGTGCTGCGGGAACTACTTTTGCTCCACCAGCCAATAGCCTTTGAGATACCAGCCCACTGGGGTGTGGTGTCTTTTGCTTTTAAAAAGTGGTGGCAGCCCTCCGTGCGCTCTCTCTTGCTTCGGATTGATTCCGCTTGCTTTTCCTGGTCATGCAGGAGGCTGTTGTCTAGGACGGTGATCTGTAAGTCTTTTCCCTTTAAATAAATAACCCTTTTATTAATCATAATTCCAAACTGTTGTGGGATTGTTTTGTGACTTACTTCATTAAGTAAGCAACATCCCTCCATTGCCTCCGCATCAGCTCCTGCCTTCAGGTCCTTCCCTGTTTGAGTTCCTGTCCTGACTTCCTACAGTGATGGACTATGGTATGGAACTGTAATCCAAATAAACCCTTTCCTCTCCATCTTTCTTTTGGTTGTGGGGTTTCATCATAGCAATAGCAACCCTACCTGAAACAGCAGTTGGTACCAGGCTAGTAAGATACTGCTGTGACAGGCCTGACGGTGTTGTTTGGGGGAGGATTATGAGAGGATCCTGGGATGTTGGGCTAGAAAAGCCATTGAGTGTTCAGAGCCTGGTGAGCTGTTCTGTGGGACTCTGGAAGATAAGGATGTTGAGAGCAGTGCAGAGGATGGAGGCCTGGCTTGCGATGTTCAAGGGAGAAGTTTAAAAAACCTAAAGACTGTCAGGGTCGTAGCCTATTTGCTCCTTTGAATTAAGGTTCTGTGGCTCTGGAAGCTAGGGCAGAAGAATCAGTGGCAACGAACGAGAGACTAGCGTCATTGAAGTGAAACCTTTGCTTGGCTGAGACAATTGGTGCCTGTCGCCTGGGGCTGGGGAATTAGCCGTGATGAAGGGAGAGACTTGCATCATTGAGGTGAAATCGTCTGTGAAGTGTTTACTGAGAGTCAACACACAAAATTTGTTTTCCAGAGGCGACCAAGGTTGTGCCTAGGGCTGGCAGCCAGACTTGGTAGTAGTGTAAGGGCCATCCAGGTGGTGCTGGTTTTGAAGGCATGAAGGGGTCGTGGACAGTAGCTGAGGCTCGTGCTGTGAGGGCATTGGTGAAGGTGCGGCCTCATTAGAGATGAAGGCCCAGGACTGAGGGGGTCATGCAGAGAAGTTGAAGCTTGGTACCACGAAGAGACCCCTGGAGAGTCTGAAAAGTTCAGCCTAGTTGCAGCAAGGAACCCCAGGGTTTTGGAGATGCCAGTACCAGGGGACAGCCACCAAGAACAGCGGAGGTGAAATGGAGCCTGCCGGACCTTAGAACTCAAGCTGTGTGCCGCAGGGGGCGGGGCCGCAGAAGTAACAGAAGCCCCTTGAAGGCGCCCAGAAGATCCCGAGTGAATCCCAGATAGTGAACCAGTTATTCACACAGTTGGGGTTTGGCCTTGCTTTGTTCAGATTGTGACCGTGCCCTGGTTCTAACCTCTTGAAGTAAGAAAGCACTTAATTTATTTTTGATTTTACAGGAGGCCCTAGGGAGTTGAGAGACTTCAAATTTTTAAAGAGATTTTGGTGTGCAGAGACTTTGGATTTTAAAAGAGACTGGCCATTTAAGAAACAACTTCTAAAGTGTTTGAATTTGTAAGGCTGTGGGACTTTTTAAGCACATAAAATGTTTTATACTGTGATTTTTTTTTTATCTGTTTTGTTTTTGTTTTTGGAGACAGGGTTTCTCTGTGTAGCCCTAGTTGTCCTGGAACTTGCTCTGTAGACCAGTCTGACCTCAAACGCCTGCCTCTGCCTCCTGAGTGCTGGGATTAGCGATGCTGTGATGTCTTTATTAATGTGTGATCTTGATGAACAGGAAAGGAAAGGCTGTGGCTCAGCAATGATACTTTGGTGTGTCAAGTTGACAAGGGGTCAGTTGTGCTGGATAGTTCGTCAACCTTACACAAACTAGAGCCGTCGGAGAAGGAGGAAACAGTTGAGAGAACGCCCCCATAAGCTCAGGCTGTAGGCAAACCTGCAGAGCATTTTCTTAATGACTGATAGGGAATGGGTGTTGCTGTCCCTGGGCCTGGTGGTCCTGGGTTCTGTAAGAAAACAGTCTGAGCAAGCCAGTGTAAGCCGCACCCTCCATGGTCTCTGTCAGCTCCTGCCTCCAGGTTCCTGTCCTGTTTTAGTTCCTGCCCTGACCTCTTTCATGGTGTTTCATTGTAACTCTAGTAACCCTAAGACAGGTGCACCTGCCATGTCATTGTGCCAGCAAGAAAAGTAACTAGTAAAAAAAGAAACAACTCAAGCTTTTTAAAAACTGGTTCTGGAAATCAAGAGTTAATTCTTCTAAGGGCTGTTTCTGCTCTCCCGTTGGAAGAGTTAGCTGTTGTGTTGTCCTTGGCATTTGGAGAGCTTGCCCAATGACAAACGCGTTGCTTTAAATGTTAACATCACTCTGTGTGGTAAAATGCTAACACTCCAAGAGCTACCCCTGGGCATTAGGACCAACTGAAGGAGGACAGAATTGCCCCTGCTGCGAGATTGCCTCCAGCCCCGTGTCTTTGCTCTGAAGCACATACTACAGTGTTCTGTTTGAAGAGTCAAGTGTTTGTGGGACTCTTCCACGGTGCTCGTTAAGGAGAAGACGAGGCAGTTCTAGAAAGCAGCTCCTTTATTTGTGCATTGCTCTGTGGTATTTTAACTGGAGGCTTTCAGGATTTCTTGCAAAAGTTCTTAAAAATATTTATATCCGTTAGTGATGACAGATAAATTGATATAATTAAATTTTAATTTTAAAAACATAGACTGAGAGCTCATTTGGAGGTCCTAGCAGGGGAGCTCAGCTGCTTGTATACTCTTGATTGGAGACCAGCCCTCCTCTATTTGGGGAAGGTTGTCCTCTTTGACCGAGTGCGCAGCTTCAGGAGGGACACACATGGAGCAGTGAGGGAGGAAGGAGACACCCTCCTAGCCAGCCAGATCAGCCGAATCAACCCTGATCATCAGTGGGATGATCACCCTCACACCCTCATTTTAACAAACCAGAACCTGTGTAGTTCATTGATTTGCAACTCACAGGTGTCACACTTGTTTCTTTGTTGTTTGTTTGAGGCAAGGTCTCCCTGTTGGAACTATGTAGCCCAGGATTGCCCTGAATTTATGGTCCTCCTGTCTGTCTCACATGTGCTGAGATTCTAGGTGTGTGTCACCAGCCGGGCTATGTCCTGTCTTTTATTTCATACATTTTATTATTTGATGCTGAAATAGCTTAGGTAGCTTTTAAAATGGTTTATATTGGGATTGTAGGTTAAAATATTTGCCCAAGATCAAAATCATGTTATCCTTTCATTTGATTTTATTTGTCAAAGTTATATATGAAGTTATATACACTCATGGGTGTTGTGGAGTATTATTTTAACTGGGCAAAGATGTGTTACAGTTGTTTATGCTGCGGAGTATTTTAATTGTGTAAAGGTGTGTTACATTTGTTTCACAATGTAAGGATATGTGTTTAATTATGTAAACATGTGTTACATTATTTTCATCTTGCCTGCCTAAGGCACCTGATTGGTCTAATAAAGAGCTGACTGGCCAATAGCGAGGCAGAAAAAGGATAGGCGGGGCTGGCAGGCAGAGTAAGTAGGGGAGGAGAAAGAGAAGAGAATGAGGGGCCAGAAGCCATGCAACTGCCAGCCAGACACGAGAGGCAGTGAAAGTAAGATCTTCAGAAGGAAAGAAAAGTAAAAGGCCTCCAGACAAAGGGTAGATAAAGAGAAGCAGATTAATTTAAGTTAAAAGAGATAGCCAGAAATGAGTCTAAGAAAGGCCGAGCATCATAACTAATAAGTCTGAGTCATGATTTGGGAGCTGGTTGGTGGCCTGAAAGAAAATCGTGTTACACATAGGTTCTATTATTCCTTTAAAAATGGCAGGGTGGGGTGTGTGGACGAACGCAGGATAGACGAGACACGCGCAAAAGGAAGAGACAGGACACGCGGCTCCCACGTGGGTGCACTTTAATGGGGAGAGGGAAACACGATAAGGGATGGGGTGTGCGAGACACACAAGGGTGGGGGGCAAGAGAGAGGTGAGAGAGCGAGACCTCGTGGAAGCTCGCTTTTAACGGGAAGCGCAAGGTTATCTGGGAGACCCGCACCTGGGCACGCCCACGTGCACAGGTGTCGGTAATCCAGGAGGAGTCTGGGCGCTGTAGTTACCAAGGAATAACAGGTTCTTTGAAGCTAGCCAGTCTAATGTTTTACCATCTGTTTAAAAATGACACTGCGTGTGTGTCTGTGTGTGTGTGTGCGCGCGCATGCGTGCGTGCACACAACCGCACATGTGAGCTGAGGACAGCTGTGGCAGTTGGTTCTCTTCTGTCTTTCGGGGGCTGGGAGTGAGCTCATTCCAGGCCGCTCACTGTCTTCATGATTTTAGTGCTCTGAGAAGGATGTGGGAAAACCTGGTTTCCTTCAGGCATTTTGGCATCTTTTACTGTACTTTCAGTTTTTCAGGTCCTTCCTATTAGCTCTTTCTGGGGAAGAGGCCTCATTTTCAATTGAGGGATTTTATAAAGGCTTCATAAAACTTTGCGTTGTTGTTGAGGGGTTAGAAAATACCCCATGCAAAATCCATCAGAGTATGGATCTAATGGTGGAATTCCTAGTAGAATTACTCGGTTTTTTATTTGAGCCATGAGATTAGTTGAGTTGAAGCTCAGCATTAAAAAAAAAAAAAGACAATGACTTTTTTTTTTTTAACAAAATAAATTAGAATTGAAAAAATCAGGGGTGGAGAGATGGCTCAGGGGTTAAGGACATTTTCTGAGCAATCATTAGGACCTGAGTTTGAATCCCAGCACCTACATCACTAGCCAAGCATGGGCTCACAAGCTCCCATAACCGTCACCATAGCCCTGTGTGGGCTTGCTGAAAAACAGCAACAACAACAAGAGCTCTGTCTGGGCTGAGGAATAGGCTCCATCTCAGAGGGATAAGGTGGCAGAGGACACTGGCGCCCCCCTCTGACGTCCGTATGCACTCACAGGTCTGCCTCCCTATACATCTGCACATATATAAGTGCAGCTACCCCCTGCACACACACTAGAAAAGCAGTTTCTAAACAACAGCAGCAAAATCAGCACTGAGGTCAGATTCGGTGGTGCACTGGGGAGGCGGGGACACAGGCAGCTGCATCTCTGCGTTTCAACTCAGTTTGGTTTATACACTGAGTTCCGGGCCAGCAAGCACTAGGTAGCGAAACTCCTTAAAAGAGGTATATTTTGTGATAATTTTGCTTCATAGAAAGGTATGTATTTTTGTATATACTGAGCCTGAGGCATAAAATGCCTGTCTTACTGTGGGTGACAGCAGGTGACGGATGAAAACACTGACCTCAAATCCTCTCAATTCCCTTTGTTATCTTGCAGCTTTTGTGACCTTATTGAACGGGGAGCAGGCGCAGAGCGCGATTCAGAGGTTCCATCAGTTTTCCTTTCGAGGCCGAGAGCTGATAGTGCAGCTGCAGCCCACAGACGCCCTCCTGTGCATCACCAACCTGCCCATCTCCTTCACGCTGGAAGAGTTTGAAGAACTCGTCCGCGCGTACGGAAACATCGAGAGGTGTTTTTTGGTCTACAGCGAAGTTACCGGCCACTCCAAGGGCTACGGGTTTGTGGAGTACATGAAAAAGGACTTCGCTGCCAAGGCCAGGCTGGAGCTGCTGGGCCGGCAGATGGGGGCTTCGGCACTCTTCGCACAGTGGATGGATGTTAACCTCTTGGCCTCGGACCTCATCCATTCTAAGTGCCTTTGTATAGATAAACTGCCCAGTGACTACAGGGATTCCCAAGAGCTCTTGCAGCTTTTCTCTGGCATCCATAGGCCTGTGTTTTGCCAGGTATGTGTTGCTAAGACTTCATTTGAGGGATTTAAAAATAGCTGCATGCATTGCTCCTCGGTGTCTGTATGTACACCTGTTTATCTGTTGTATCCATGCAATATCACAGGGGCGATTTTGATTTCTTCTCTAGTCTGTAATGAGGACTCTAAAAACATGTTAAGTCATTCCTGTAGTGTGTGCACTATGGGACGGTTCACAAGCTGGGCAAGGGGCTGGAGATTGAGACACATACACACACAGACAGACAGGGACACAGGGACATGGGTCATCCTTGAAACAAAAATGCCAATTTTATTGCGTTCCAGGGAAGCTTATATAGGGATCCTTAACTGATAGCCACGCCCCAGCTCTTGGGATTTTTTCAGCTGTAAAAACCTACCAGAAACCATTCCCCTGCCATCAGGAACTCATGAGGGTCTCGTGTTCAGAGCAGCTGCAGGCACAGGAAAACAAGTCGTTCACTCCGGCAGGCAAAGGGTTAAGTCAGGGGTCAAAGGGTCTAAGGGTCTGCAGCCCCCAACACATTCCCTTTTGCTGATGGGCCAAGCTCTGTTGCTTTGGTTCATTGTGTTGTAGCAAATCCATTGCTTACTCATTCCCCTCTCTTTCCACCCAGTTGTCCAGCCATTTTTCCATTAAGCCATTTGCCTCTCCGACTCAGGTTGACCATTTTCTCTGGGCCAGTGCTAGGCTGTGTCAGAAATGGAGAGTAGAACTCTGTCTCAGTGCTCCATGGTTTTGTAGATGACTGACAGGTGAACTGGTACTTACACATCCTCCATGAAGAATGACCTAAGGGAGGCTGGAAAACTTGGATAAAGTGTAAGGCAGGCCCTTCTTTCTGTCTGAATATGGGGTTGTGGTAGGTGAGGCATGCGGAGAAGATCTTGGCTGTGCTGGGGAGCGGTTCCAAGCACCTTACTGTAGCAAACGCATCCTCATCACTGCCTGGAGCCCAGCACTGTGTGCCGCCTCCCCAGCAACTTTCTGATGGCAGCGGCCAGTTCTTCCTCTGTTCCCTGCGTTTCCCCCTTTCTGCCCTCTCCCTTCACTTCCATGTTTCCTGTCCCAACTCTTTTCCTTCCTCCCCTTTCTTTTTTTTCCTCACCCAACATTTGCCAAATTTGTATAATGCAATGGAAGTTTTAAGAGTTGGCTGTGCACGTGTGTGTGTGTTTAAATGAACAGATAACACTGTATGCATTTGTCATGTCTAGCGTGATGCTCTGAAGTATGCACACATGGGTGGGGAGCCTAACGCCAGCCGACTGACCATGCATCACCCACAGTTACCATCTTCGGTGATGAGAGAGCTCAGCACCCACTCTCAGAGTTTTCTAGGAATGCGGTGTATTGTCAATGGTGGTGCAGCATATTTTATAATAGATTGCGCGTTACTATCTAACTCACATTTCACGCCTTGTACCCACAACTGCTCTACTGGTGATCCATTCTCCACCGGTGACTGCCAGTCTGTTCCCTCCTCTCTACGAGACTGGCCCTTCTAGCTTCTGCACGTGAGTAGATTATGCAGCAGTATGCACAGTTGAGATCAATGGTCCCACCTTGCTTTTCCTTACATTGTTGTCCTCCCATCCCAGCAAAGCATTAAACCATCTAAGACTGTAGAAAATGAGAGTATTTTGTGACAAACCTTTGACCCAGTCTTTGCTCAATTCTTGGAGAGGATTGCCTCGTGATATGCTGATATTGTTGAATACTGAGAGTCATATAGTGCTGTCGTCCTGAGTGTTATCCAGCATGCGTGTGTCCTTAGTTCTCTGGAGGTAGACCTTTGGAGCAAATGTAGGGGACAGAGCCATCTGTCACACTGTGATACATGTGATACATGATCTGAACTGTGAACTCAGGAGTTGGCAGGAACCTTACAGGTCACCATGTTTAGCTGTATGGTGGTAGAATCTGTTTGCTAGTGTTTTGTTGAGTGACCCTTAGCTTCTGCTAAAATGCTTCAGAATAACGGAAATGTCTTTAAATAGTTCTGGTATTGAACTGCATGGCCCACTCTCACACTGCTGATGTGGTTTTATTTTGGAAGCCTTCAGGTGCTGTGTCTTAGATAAGAATGAATGCCGGGCAGCAGTGGTTCACGCAACACTTGGGAGGCAGAGGCAGGTGGATCTCTTTGAGTTCTAGGAGAGCTTGGTCTACAGAGCTAGTTCTAGGAGAGCCAAGGCTGTTACACAGAGAAACCCTTTCTCAGAAAACAAAACAAAAACAAAACCAAGTCGTCCCACTGAAACAAGAGCGGCAGTAGTAGGCTTAAAGCTTCAGAAATCCACTCAGGCAACATTTGCAGAGCTTCTTCTCATGGATGTCGAGGTCAGGCTCCTCCTGTCCGCAGCAGTCAGCAGAGAATGGCTGGAGATGGATTCTTGCAGTCCGGAGACCAAAGGGCCTGCTGGCTTTTACAGCTCTGATCTCAAGATCTGGTTTGAATTAGAGGAGGACTTGAGCTCTTGGAGGAATAGTTGGAAGAGGTGGGTGTTTTTCCTTTGCCTTCCACATTTGGGAAAGGCTTCGTGAAGCAAAACAAATTTTAGGGTAGTTTAGAAGAGTAAAGATCTTGAAGAGGGAAAAATGGAAAATTGGCCTGAGTATCAGAAGAAAGCAAAAGTTAAGTATTTGTAATATTAGCATATGATATAAAAAACACATCATAGGGTTGTGTGTTTGTGGCTTCTCAAAGACACAAGCTTGATTTTGTCACGTCTGTCACGTTGGCGTGTAAGCGTATTTAAGATCATTCATATGTTCCCAAGTCCTGGAACTGTAGTGACACATCCCTTCTTCCCTGTATTCTCCACTGAAGGCTGTAGAGCCAGGACTTTACTGCCGCACTGCACACCCCCACAAGGTGAGCCCACCCTCGGAAGTGAAGGCTGTGTGCTGTGGACGGTGGATGCTAGGCATGCGTTTCCTAAATAAGATTTATTTTGTATCCTTTACCAGAATCCTGGGATTCGCTTAGTATGTTGAAATAAAAGTTGACTGTGGTTCCTCCCACCCATCTTCTTTTGATAACACCGTTTTTATTGATATGTAGTCAAAATAATCAGTGTCTCGTTATCTATCCATGAGTCTGATGACTTATTTTAAAGAAAGTTTTAATGTAATTATTTAATTATATTTTCCTATTAATTACTAATTGTGTGTGTCTATTTCCTAATAAGTAGGAGATTGGTAACTATTAAATTAGAAAATGAAAGCATTGGGTTGACATTCCTGTCTTCAGGGAACAACTGTGTCTAAGTAAGTTGGGGAAGAAATCTAGTATTGTCACCAGTACTGCCTGAGGGACTGGATGTTGACTTTGGAAACGGTTACTGCAAACGAATGTTCATAAATCAATTTTAGAATCTCTTTTTAATGTGCTGTGTGGTGTCAGCTTGCACAGGATGAAGGCGGGCATGGCGGTAGCTTTGCAGTGGTTGAATATAGCACAGCGGAGCATGCCGAAGAGGTTCAGCAGGTGGCAGATGGCATTACCGTCAAGGGGAGCCAAGTCCAGCTATCCTTCTGTGCCCCGGGAGCGCCGGGACGAAGCACTCTGGCAGCCCTCATAGCGGCTCAGCGCGTGGTGAGTGGCGTGCTGCCTCGACAGGCGACCGCTATCTTAACCTCCCAAGTCTGTCTGCAGTTAGTGCTCATTCCCTCGGCTCTCATTGTTTCCCTTATAGTGGAGATAGTGCATGTTTTTAAAGTAAGAAGTGTGTTTTTGAAAAAGCTGGCCAAGTGGTGTCTGTAAAACTAAGCTGGAAGTTAAGAGAAATAGAGTTCATGAAAATGTATTCATCTTGAGTAATTTGTGTGTGGGGGGGGGGGGTATGTGTGTGCAGGTGTGCACAGTCTATGTGTTGGGTGTGTAAGTCCAAGGCTGATGTCAGGTTTTTCTCTTGATGGCTCTCCCCTTTATTGCGGCAAAGGCTCTCACTGAATCCAGAATGTTCCCGTGCACCCATTCCAGCCAGCCTGGCTAGCCAGCTTGTCCTGGGGCTCCCTGTCTGGTTTTCAAGTGCTCGGATGACATCTGCCCAGCTTTTATCTGTGTTCTAGGGACCCAGACTTCAGTCTTTACAGTGCAGGTGCTTTATCTCCCAAGCCTTCCCTCCAGCCACTACCTGGACTAGTTTTTAAAGGAATTTCATTCTTCCAGCAAGTGGTTGAGTTGCTCTCTGCTGTAAGTTTTGAGTGCCGTACTTCATTTCAGAAGTTGTCATAATATAAGTGCCACCATGGTGTGTGGTGCCCACAGTGTGTGGTGCCCACGGTGTGTGGCGCCCACGGTGTGTGGCGCCCACGGTGTGTGGCGCCCACGGTGTGTGGCGCCCATGGTGTAGTACACCCAGTCAGAGCTGCAAAAGATGTCTGTCTCTCTATTGCTTCATGGCACCAAACACTCACCCCTTTGCTATGACTCTCTCGCCTGAGAGTCCCTTAGATGTGCCCTGTGCCTTCAGAGTTTTCATCTCAGCCCAACATGGATTTTGATGGTTTAATGAAGGAAGGGATACTCCTTTGAAAGAATCAGGACAAACTTCATGATGAAGATGACATTTGAGTGTGACATTAAGGAATGGGTGAGGTAATGACATGTGTTGATGGGGGTGGAGGATAGGATTGCCAAATAAATACAGATTTTGCATGAGACATACTCCTATTAAAAATTATTCATATTCTGAACTCCGAGTTTCGCTGAACATCCTGTGTTCCTCATTAAATCTGGTGACCCTAAGGAGGCGGGCTGAGCAATAGTCAGAGCTGGATTAGCTGTTCGGAGAGGGGTAAATGTTCAGGTTGAACCGCCGATGTAGAGAGGCGCATTGATGCTGAAGAGTATGGCATAGACAAAGGACTCAGATTGAATGCAGCACCGGAGAACTCGTAGATAAGTAAATGAGGAAGTGACAGGTGCCAGTCAGGCCATGGGAAAGTCAGCCCTGGGTAGATTAGAGATCAGCAGAGAGAGAGAAGCAGAGGAGGAGGTGGGGCTGGGTGGGAAGGCGGCTGTTGTTCCTCTCACCCCCACACCCCTACTGCACCTCCTGTTAGTTCACTCCTGGCCCTGGATCTGTTCTGTCTCCAGGGTGAGTTAGCATCCTTGGGTTTTCACTCCCAAAAACCACGGCTTTAGCCTTTTTGTTCACTATCAGGTCCCTTTCCTCTGCTTAACTTGAGTCTCTGCTCAGTTGGAATTGCCAAGCTTACAATTCTGAACCGGTCCAGCCGCTGATTTCTGAAGCCAGGACACTGTCATCGTGGATATGAAATGGGCAGCTGGGTGGCTTGGTGCCCCTGCAAATGAGAGGCTTCGCTGATCCCCACAAGTCTTCAATTTGTCCTTTATCTGTTTCCTGCTTCCTCCTGTAGGTATCTAAAACAGGTGGGCAGTGGTGGCACACGCCTTTAATCCCTGCACTTGGGAGGCAGAGGCAGATGAAACGATCTCTGTGAGTTCGAGGACAGCCTGGTCTACAGAGTGAGTTTTAGGACAGCCAGGGCTACCCAGAGAAACCCTGTCTCAAAAAGCAGAGTAACAACAGCAACAATAAAAAACAAAACAGACAAAATGGGAAAAACCAACCTGTACTTGTGCCTTGTGCTTGCTTTCTGCCAGATGACCATGGTTCTGGGGAGGACCAGGTGTTAGATTCAGTCATCCATCCTCCCCACCTCGGCTTGGCTCCTTCTCATGGTAAAATGTGCCCAGGATGTACATGGTCAGCGATGCAAAGTCTACCCCTTCCCTGTTCGTAGGAAAGACCATACCTCTTCCTGACAGTGTCCCCAGCTGGGTGCTCTTGATCCTCTCTTTTCTATCTGACTTTATTTGTTCCACAAATGTCGGTCCTTTTCTTAGGCAAAGCCTTAGACAGCTGCCGTTACAGCTACTGTTTAACAGGGCCATTGTCTCCAGTTCCTAATGTTCCATCTCCTCTCAGCCTAATGCAGAAGAGTGTCCATCTCATTCTTTAAGCTGCTCTCATGAAGGATTTCTCTGTGTATACGGGTTCTTGTGTGTCCATGTGAGCACGCATGTGGAGGTCAAAGGTTGACAGCGGGCATCTTCCTCCATTCTCCACCTTTTCTTTTGAGCAGGGTCTTACTGGACCTGGGCCTTGTCCATTGAGCCAAGAGGAATAGTGAGAAAGCTTTTTTTTTTTCTTCAAATCTTAAAAGTCACTTTTTATGGATAATGGTTTATCTTTTACCAAGTTTCTGAGATTTGAATAAAAAAGAACAAGCAGGCACTAAAAACTTTTAAAGTATTTCTGAGACAATTGAAATAAACATGTGACTCATACTCGAGTTGACTGATAACAGTGCCTTATTTCACTTTCATGATAAATACCACAACCAAAAGCAGATTTGGGGAGGGAAGGGTTTCTTTGGCTTACTGCTTACTTCCATCACCAAGGGAAATCAGGGTGGGAACTCAGGGCAGGAACCTGGAGGCAGGAACAAGCAGGAACCATGTGTATTGCTGCTTTCTGGCTTGCCCTGCATGGCTTGCTCAGCCTGCTTTCTTAGACACGCAGGCCCACCTGCCCAGCCTCCCACATAAATTGCTAATCAAGACAATGCCCTCCAGCCTTGCCCACGGGCTAGAAGATGGAGGTGTCTTAATTGAGGTTCCTCTTCTCAGAAGGCTCCAGATTGTGTCAAGCTGACAGAAAACCAACACAGATGGGAATCACACTGCTGATTTGTTTGGTGGAAGCCGTCCTTTTAGTCAGAAGTTTTAGTGTTAGAAAGTTAATTGGTTTCATTATGACATTTTCTTACGCGTGTCATTGTATTTTGCTCACCTTCCACATCTGTTCATGTCCCTCTTCATGGGTCCCCTACACGGTCCCCCCTCTCCTCCCTCCCTTCCTCCCTCCCTTCCTCCCTCCCTTTCATTCATTCATTCATTCATTCATTCATTCATTCATGTGTGTTTAAGTCTGGATTCTCCATATGAAAGAAAGCATGCAGTGTTCTTTCTTTGTTGCCTTTCTCCTCCCATGGTCCCCTTCTATGCTCATTTCAGAGTTTTCTCTAGCCCTAGTTGATCACAGCTTTTTCCAGAGACATTATTTAATTTGATTTAATAATATTTTTCTTTGACATACTTTTGGAGATGTCCCCAGAAATGGCAGGGACCTAATTTTTTAAAAAACATCATCAGTAATTTTGGAATTAAGACACCGACCTCACTGTCATTGGATGGTTATCCCGACCAGCTTGTATAATGCAAGGCTGAGTGCTCTTTCTGTGAAGCCGGGTGGGCCGCTCCTTAGGCCTCTGGAGTCATCGATTACCTCTGAGCTCCAACTGTGGATATTCTTGCCTCCTCCTCCTCTTTCTCTGCTACCTCTGCCTGTGTTACCCAAGGTGGTCCTTTCCAGCCATGTTTTCCACATTTGACATTAACAGATGTAGACGCTCTTAGCGTTTTAAGACGTCGGAGACTTGCCTCCTTTTCCTTCTGTGTAACTTGCATTTTCTGTTTTGTCTTCATCAGCCTTAGGAAAGAGAGTTCTAGTTCGTCCTTTCAAAGTACCAACTTTTTGGTTTTTTTTTTTTTTTCACTGTTTCTAAATTTCCCTCATTTGCTTATTTCTGCCTTCATCTTAATAATTTTCTTATTTCTGCTTAGCATTTACTTGTCCTCCTCTTGGTTGATAGTGGGGGTGGTGAGATTAATATTTCCCCATCTTTATTGATCACTTACAAGTCACTGCTTAACTCTCCTGCATTTTGTTTGTTTTCTTGTTTGTATTTTGTGCTGGGAAATGAGCTCAGGGTATTATATGATAAATAGGTACTCTGCGGCTGAGTTACATTCCAAGCCCCTGGTTTATTATTTTATGGTAAGTACATTTGTAGGCTGGTATGGTAGTGTAGTGAGCCCAGCATTGGGGAGGCTAAAGCAGGAGAATTGCCACAGGTGTAAGGCCAGCCTGGGCTACATAGCGAATTTCAGACAAGCCAGAGCTATGTGAGAAGACTGTCTCAAACAACATAATGAATAAATAAAAAAGAGAAGTACATTTACAGGTTTCCTTCCAACAAATACTATATTCATATGACTTAAATCTTGATGTATGGATGTTTCAATTTTTGGTGATTTCTTTTTTATATAAAAAGATTATTTCACTTTATGCATAGGAAGACTTTGATTTTATGTATGTATGTGGCCCATGAGCATGATTGGTCTCCACGGAGACTGGAAGAGGGAGTCAGGTTCCCTGGAACTGGACTTTTCTAGCCTCCTATTGGTTTGGCTTTTTTTTTTTTTGTATATAAAGAAACTATTTAATTGTGACATATGTATATGTATATATATCATTCACCATTGTTCTCATTTCTCCTCATGAGCCCTCTTCCTTTATATTGGCTTTGCTTCCTTCCCCAATAGTTACCCTTCTGGGGTGTGTGTATGTCTGTCTGTTCGTCTGTGTGTCCATATATTCCATTATTATCCTCTCCTGTTTTCCTTCCCCACTCTCTAGAACTTCATCTCCCTCCCTTTTGACTTTCATGTCATATGTAGTTTTAATGTATGCATACATATTTCAGTCTCAGTTCTGAGAG